TCTTTTGGGCCTTCTTTGTGTTCACACTTAACATATCACATTATAGAGAAAAAGTGTATATATGCAAAATAAAAGTCCATAGTAGTCATGATGAGTGTTTTAAAAAGCAGTTTTGGGACTCATCTCGGAGCTCGTTTTAGGGTGGGGCATTGACTAAACGCTTTGTGGTACACGTGTGGGGATTAGTTATGTGAGACTATGCCACTTGTGAAACTATTTTTTCTAGAAAAAATATTTTTCTCTTTTTAAAGAGCTTGTTTTTCACGAGACATTTTCTAGTTCATATCATTAGTGGGTTATAAGTTCATAAGAATAAGAGAAATACTTAGTTTTTTCCTACAAGGATAACTTTAGATCGAATATTATGTTCAAATAAAATGTATACATTATACATATTGGGTTTATAATTTGATTCTTGTTGTTCAGTCCCTCTCCAGATGCTTAGTGCATCAGTTTGCCCTTTGCCCACAAATGAAATACAAAGATCATAAGGTAGTATTTTATTACTATCATCACTTCTAAAAGAGCTATTCAAGAACTCAAATGAATAATGGGGTAAAGAGTCTAATATCAAAATGAACAGTATTCTAGTTTATATGAAGGATGTTGAGTACAAGGGTGGTTGGATAAAGCTAGTAAACCGTTTGTTTTCTCCAAAAATTTTAAGGCCTTAATTTTTTTTTAATTTTTTTTTTTTTAGTATTTTGAATTAAACAACTCAAACTATATGTTAATAAATAAAGTTTTTACATTAAAATCTAAGGTAATATATTACAAACAAATGACTAACATTTTACTTTATTAACTAAAATTAATCCTTACATTTATAAATAATATTATTATGTGAAGTTAAACACTTTTTATCTTTTAAAAATACTATCCCAAATTCTGCATAAACCTTCCCGCCGTGTTGGTACTAATAAATTTGGACGGAGGGAATGACCAACTAATGTATATAGGAGCATCTCTTTTTATCTAACTACGGATCAAACACGATGAACATTAGTCACGTACCCATAAATGAAAAGTGTACATATTATCAATTATAGGGAGAAGAGACTTACAATGCCATTTTATTTTGGCTAAATAAAAAAGAGAAAAAGAAGTTTCCAAAGATGAAATTATAATATTGAAATCTTAAAAATTTACCATTTTGAATTTATGAGGTATTTACAAGCTAGCAACAATTATTATTGCCATAAATAAATAACTTTTCCAATAATATTTTGTTACCCTACTTCTCATGGTGAACAACCATGGCATCACGTCGAAAGAAGAAGAACCGATTTAACCATCCAAATGTGCATCAATGAAATGCAAATATTTGATAATATTTACCCTGATTGCAGGTCGATGCTCCAACAAATGAAGGGTCAGCCATGAAGCACGTTCAGAGGGAGGCTAATATGGCAGCAGACCTACTAGCAGTATACACGAATGATCCACATATAATTTGTAAATATTTTTGAAGCATCGTTGTAAAAAATGATCGCGAAAGAGATGTTATAAGAACTAAATCGTTTAGATTAGTTCCTCTTTTGTATGAATAAACCTTCCTAAATTAAATAAAATAAAACACCTTCCGTTTCTAAGAACAAAAATCTTCTAAGTTGCTAACATGCATAATTCATATTTTCCTATTAAATCATTCAATGAGTTACCACAATAATCATAAATTTGAAATATTCGTAATTCTTGAATTAACATAAATAAATCTTTTCAATTTCAAAAGTTAGTTTATGAGATAATGATCGTTAGATTAAAAAAAATAAAAAATTAACCAAGACCATATATAAAGAGACATTCTCTTTTCCCTAACACACTCAGACTTTGTCGATTTAACATGAATACTATAATATGAGTTACTATAATATGATATGAGTGTCCAACATCGAGTAAATCAAGAATCAATATTAACTTAACTGATTGACTCTAATATTATGATAAGAAATTAACTTTATTTAATTAATTAGGCCTAATACAACTCTAAAAAGTAACTCATGAAGTAAGTATGAATTACTCAAGATCACATAAAGAGACCTTCTGAGCTACATATTTGATAAGGTACCTCATAAGTCAATTTGGACTACATATTTATTTGTCGCTGGATATAAGTTTGATTAAACGAAACAAAATGAGTTGACTTAATAAATAAGGAGATTAATTTTTCTTTCATTGGCTAATTTAGCCACCCCACTCAAGATCATATAAATAAACCTTTTCATCCTAAGTACCTAGTGTAAAAACAACATCCTTAAGGTAAATGTGCATACAAGAAATGCCAATTCTCCTAGCTAGTCAATTAATTACTTCTATACTTATCTTTCTAGGCAAATGAAGCCAATAAATGATGATAGTCTCAAGATTTTATCATGTTACAAAAGCAAGGGCATCATTTTGGGCATTACTAAGGAGTAAGTTTCTTGACCAATACACCACACAGGTGTAGTTCACTTGTACATAGTACTAAGGAAGAAGAATCAAGAAAATTCAAAGTATTCTAGAGTTTATTAACTATGTCAACCTAAATAAAGTAACTTTAAAAATTAAAATTAAATAGAAAACATCTTGCTAGATACAAGAAAATAATTTCTAGATGTCTTAGGAAGAAAGTGAAATATCTACTTCCCCCTAGTCTCCTCCTATGTATACATTTTTTGTGATCAATAATAATCCTACCACACATCTAATTTTGGAAGTTGGGTGGTTCCCAAAAAAAAAGTATCAACTTTCCTATGATGTAAACTATGTTAAAGCTATAGCTTCTTGTTCAGTTCGTATGCAATGTTGTTTTTGATTTCTCACTTGGTGTCTAATATTTGTATTTTAGTTTGATTTTAATCCAAATCACAACATATATGTAGATTCTATTTTTAGAAGCAGCGCTCCCAAAAGATTTTTTTCATTCTCAAAGGATAGAATCAAAGACCTTTGATAAGAATGGAGGAATCTCAATCAACCCACCACGATGCTTATTACCCATAAATAGGTGGATAAAAGAAGAACAAACATTATTGTGCAATTATAATTCTCTATTGAAATACCATATTTGATGTCATTCATCAATTGGTTATGACTAGTTTATCATAGTCTTGTTTCCTAGGATTCTTAGAGAAATACGTATATATAATATTGATCATTTATGGGGAAAACACTAAGCTAATAACCTTGTTAATTCCTAATTTCCTAAGGTAGAAGAAGGTAATTAAAAAAATGAAATTAATCAGCACTTGTAGTATCCTATATGATTTTGCTAAGGAATTGGCAATCCATAAAAAAATCTTTTTTCAACTTGATTATGACCATTCTGTTTGGATTAAGCATGTATAATACTCATTTTAGAAGCTTCAATAAATCAACAAAGCATATGCCAAAACACTGACATTTGTGATCAAGTTGTGTTTTTAGCTCATGTACTAACACATATTAATATATAATAATATATAATAAATTCCATAACATTACTTCCCATTTTTACTTCTTTTTCTCAGAAAAAATTAGCTCATGAGTTGAGAATTGTCCAAGATCATATAGGATAATTAAATCCAACAACAACATGTTCAGTGTAGTCTCACCAATGAAATTTTGGAAAGCATAAGTGTATGTAGACATTATGATCTTTACCACAAAGATAAATAGGTTGTTTCTGATAGACCCTCGACTCATCAAATATAAGAAGATTAAATCACCCATACATAATTGATGGGGGAAACTCAACTCCCAACCCCCACCCCACACACTCAGAGACCTGTCAGATCTTTGGTCTAATTAAGTCAACTCCGAAATCTAACTCATGAGGTGAGAATTGTCCAAAACCATATAAAACGTGATAATATGATATGCACACCCAACATCAAGTAAATAAAGAATTGGGATGAGTCTAACTCTGATATCATATAAAAAAAATTAATCCTAAATTTCCATCAACCCAAAAAAAAACTAGCTAGTTGATTAGGTAAGAGCTTTCCAAAATCATACAAGGAGAACAAGTCTCCCATCAAGAACCAATGAGGGGAATACTCAAATGATCATCATTAATGTCTATGGAGATGATCAAAGAAAAATGAGTACAAATATTGAACACTCAAACTATTTTCACACTATATTTTTACTTCCAAATGTTCAACAAGTAATTAATTACATGATAGATCTTTTGCTTGGCTTGGCTTAACTTATATAGAAGATTGCTCCATTTAGCTAAGAATTAAAAGCAATTCCTAAATCTGCATGGTGCTATCAATGGCATAAGCCTAGGAAAATTAATAACTCATTGATGATCACTCAATTTTTAGACATTATTGTACAAGCTGACCATCATCATTTCTTGGCATGTGAAGATCAAATTGAGGGAAAATGACACAAAATTTGTGGATTAGAAAATAATCTTTCTTGTTTACTTATTTTGAAGCTAATGGAACAAAAACTAGAAGAACAAACTATATATGTATCAAACACAAACGCATTGAGCCATAACAACAACAAGAACATAAGTCAATATAATCCACAAATGGAGTTAGAGAGAGTAGAGTGTTCGCAGACCTTACTTCTATCTTGGGAGGTAGAGATGTTGTTTCCAATAGACCATTGATTCAAGGAAAAGGATATCGAAAAAGAAACAACGAGTGAAGAAATCATGTCAAAACAATATACAACATTTTGAGGCACAAATGTTTCTTTAATAATCCAATATATAGCAATAGAAGAACAAAGTACAACTTGCAAACAATGTTCATATAGGTCTACACACTAAAAAAGTAAATGATTTTCACTTAATGTGTGTAAATATATGCACATATTTCTTGAGATAGATATTAAAGTTTTTCTAAAAACAAACTTAAACATTTTACTCACCAATTGGTCCCCTATTTTCCCCTTTTGCCTTCTGAATCAAGCACTTCAATGAGTAACGTAACCACTTTTCCACTTGATTTTTGTACACCATGACCATTTCTTCAAACTACTAAGTATAGAAATAAAAATTGATCTCTAACGACAATTAATTAATGATTACTATAACCAAGACGAAGCTCCAAATCGAGTTCACTTTCATCCACATCTTTCTTCCCTCCTCCTTCTTCATCATCATCGTCAATAAGTGTAGGTCCAATTGTCAAACTAAGGTTATTACCATCATAATAATTGTCATGCCTCGTACCCGATCCATCGTGGTGATGATTATAAACATGTTGGTTATAACTAGGGTTTTGAGGTAATTGGAAATGAAATTGATAACTATTAGAATAGTGATGATGTTGTAATTCATCATGACTTGAAATAGGTGCATAGTTATTATTATACCTTGAATTATCAAAGACATAATTAGCTTCTTTGGATAATAATTTTGTTGAAGATTCTTGATTATTTTGCTTGGCTTTCAACTTGTCTTTTCTATGAATATTCATGTGACCTCCTAAAGCTTGAGCATTTGTAAATCCTCTTTTGCAAAAATTACACTCATAGGAACGTCCTATACCATCGTTGAGTTTCTCCGATTCGCGATCGATCGTCGTGTCTTCACTTGAGCTATCGGAATAGTTGTTGATCTTTTCGGATGCCATTTGATGAAATAATCGTAGCTAGAATTGTTGTTTTTTCAAGGTCGGAAAAATCAGAAACAGACTCGAAAACGAAACCCTTTCTCTTGTGTTTTTTGAAAATGCACTTTTTTTTTTTTTAGGGTATTGCAAATCGATGTAGTTTTTGTAATTCTTTAGTATAGTTGAAATGATCATTTTATAAGGACAATGACAAGGACAATAGAGAAATTTTTGTTTAGTTTTTAGGTATAAGGTTATTTTTCTTTGTTTATTGTAATTTTAGTTGAAATTTGGACTAGTTTTACTAACCTGCCGGCTTCCTATATACTTGCTTTCAATTATTCAATTATAAAAGGGAAAAATATGTGTATAAGTAAATATATATTAGTTAATTAGTTAACATAGATATAGTTTGTCTTAATTACAATTCACGATCTACTTTTAGTTATAATTATGCGGTTCAACTTTTTAGTTTCGTATAATTCGCACGTTTGTATAATTCGGAATTTGTATAATATAATTTGTAAAAAAATGTCACACTTTCTTATTTATGTAAAAAAAATAAAATGAATCTTAATTTTTTTAAATTTTAATTTAGCCTAAATGAGATGATTTAACCATTTTAAATCACAAATTTGAAAAGTCTTTTCTTCTAAAGTTTTATACCAAGATATAAATTGAGGTTGAAAAAAATATTATTTAACGTGTTATAATATGTTGCTTGTACATGTTATTAATTTCACTTAATTATACACAATTTAAAAATTTTATTCACTCTGTTTTAATTTGTTTGTTTTTAACTTTTTTTTTAAGTTCGTTTAAAAACTAAAATATTTTTATTTATTGTTAATCTCTATTATATTTCCATGTCCCAAATCTTTATACGTGGGAAAGGCACACGTGCAGCAGTGACTAAATCAGCAGTCACTAATCTTGCTCATAAATTTAGTAATTTTTCTTACGCCATAATTTATTTATTTGTTTTGTCTTTTTGTTCTCTAAGTTTCAAGAGATTAGACTTATCTGATTAGTAGTATTATATGTTAAATTAGAATGTTCTAATTAAGATCTAATCTATTCTTAGATCTCTTAAATGTTTTTTTTTTACTATTACTCCATTTTAATTTATTTGTTCTACTTTCTTTTTTAGTTCGTTTAAAAAATTGTCTCTTTTTTCTTTTCACATAGTTTAATTCAATTTTTCACGTGTCATGTTTAAGGCCACAAGATTTGCACATTTTTAATTTTAGACCGCAAGATTTTAAAAAATTTATTCACTTCGTAAAATTCATATCAAGTCAAAACATGATAAATAAATTGAAACGGTGAGAGCAATATTTACTTCTACAATTACTATATTTTTTTATGACTAAACATGATCTTAAGGAGACTAATTACACTTCCGCGATGCCACAATGATGTCAAATTATATTCATTCAATTCATCATTGATATATAAAATATGTTATTATGAATTTAATGTATACCAATTATCATATGTATACCATGTGAAAGTGCCTATCAAGATCATTCTCTTTAGCCCATAATTGAATTCTACTTTCTCACACCTCTTATTAATAATAATATAAACAACTTTTATATTATTAATGCAACTTAAACGATCATTACTTTGTTTTTTCATGTTACTGCGTCAAATTTTGGTATTGAGATTAAATGTTGTTGTCAACTTTATCTGTATTGAAAATATTAATTTTCATAAAATTAATTTACTTAATGGTGATCTTCTTCGAATTGTCCTCCGCCAAAGAAGTACATAAAATTCTCAGAGTCTCACAAATCTTGGAATTTCGTCCTTAATTTCTACTACATTTTAATTATAATAATGAAGCCTTCATGAGCTCTCATATAATTATAATAATAATATTATTATAATTAAAGTTCATATCATTTGACTCTAAAAAAGATAGTGACAAAGAAACATAAGAGTATTTCTTTTGTGATATACATTGTCCTTTTCTTTGGGGCTTTCTTCTTTAAGGTTACCCTAGCAAATTTGACTAGATCAATTAAGAGGTGATGCTTACACTTCCCCATTTTGAACTTTAAGGAAAACGAAAACTTAGAAGAAATTAAATAAAAAAAGATATAACACATTGTTAGGGTTAAGAGCTTGTTTCGATGAGCTTATAACTTATGGCTTATAAGTCGAAAGTCATAAGGCAAGATTTTTAACTTACACCTTTTAAAAATAAGTGCTTACACCCCATTTTCTTATTACTTCGACTTTGTGATTAGGAGCTGATATATCTCTTGTTATAAAAGTGACTCACATATACCTCTACGAGTCCTACCGTTTAATAACGAGGGTTATATCAACTCTAAATCGCAAAGTTGAGCTATATATCAAGCCCTTTCCCCTTTTTTATTTTAACTAAAATACTTTTAAACATCGAAAATAAACCAATTCAAACTGGCTCTAATGAAAAATAATGTTGATTATAACATGTCTTGTTGCGCCTCCATAGCTTTGCTATAAATTAATGATTAATCGGCCAATGACGCGTTTAATTAAGGATTGAAACAATCAAATATTATTATAGTTTTTTTTTTTTTTTTGACAATGTCTTAATAACGAAATTAGTGTTAGCAGACGGCAAATTTAGTCAAAAATGCAAATCCAGTTAAGATTACAAAGATTTAAATATTTAGAGGACAAATCGAAGTTTAAGAATTAATGAAAGTTACACAAGTGGAGTTTCTAATGCATCTTATTGAATTGACCAAGCCCTTTAGTGTTCTTTTCGAACTACATTCATTTTAAAACAACTTCAGATATATGGTACGTTAAGACAAATATCATAAATATATTTCAAAAACATATGAACTTCTATCATATATGAACTAGAGACATATTTATCTGAAGTTGCGGTTTGTATAACTGCAATCACAACTTCAAACACCGCATATCTGAAGTTATTTAGAAATAAGTAGATTAATGGTGATTCCAAAATTGGATATACGTCCACTTTGGCTCATTAAAACCAAGTAGCCCATCTATCTGTCACGACCCAAAAATGGACGTGATGGCACTCGTCTTAACCCACCAAGACAAGTCAGCCTAAAACTCAACCATTACAATGAAATGCGGAAATTTTTATAAGAAACTTAAATATACCCCCAAAATCTGGTTGTCACGTGTACAAGCCTCTAAAGTATTACAATTGAATCAAAAGAAAAATATAAGTCTCATATGACATTGTTTCTAGAATAGAACAAGATCATAAATAGGAGTAAGAAGGATCGCTGAGAAGATAAACAACTACCTCACAAATCTCCCAGAAGCCTCAGAAAAGAAGAGAATAACAAGTACCACAAAAATCCAGGCTCGTAACCTACACAAATTTGTAGAAGCAAGGGGTGAGTACCAAACCACACGGTAGTCAGCAAGTAAATCTCTAAACACGAGCTAAGGGGATAGAATACAAGTACTCCTTACACCCTAACCGAACCTTCACAACTACAATCTGTATAAAACCAGCCCAACCTAGCAGTTCACAATTTACAAGCACATATCTCAACAACAACATTCTAACAATCATATATTCTCAACAACAAGCTCAATATTTATCAATTACCACCTCCACAACTACAACCTGCTTAGTACCAGCCCAACATAACAGTTCACAGTTTACAAAGCACATAGCTCAACACAACACTCTAACAATTTCATATCCTCAACAACAACAATAGTTTCATATCCTCAACAACAACACTCTAACAATTGCATATCTTCAACAATAAGCTCAATATTCACCAGTCACAAGTTTCATAGAAAGGTACTCGCAAGATCAGCAACACACAACATCAAGTTCACCAATAATAAAGAAGTGCAATGCAATGAAATGCAATGTCAAGTATAGTGATGCATGTCTGACCTAATGATACACACCCGCTGTCTCTCAGTCCGGGACCCATGGGGGACATATCTGTCCATGCATCCATCGCGGCGCGCGATACGACCCTCGATAATAGTAACCATCGCGGCGCGCGATACGTCCCTCGAAATATAGTATCCGTCGCGGCGCGCGACACGTCCCTCGAAATATAGTATCCATCGCGGCGCGCGATACGTCCCTCGAAATGGTACATCCTCTTTATTTTCTTATTCTTTCTCAATGCACATAACACTTGTCACAACCATGTCTCAGAACAATGCAAATGACATGTTCACACAAAAAAAATGAAGAGATAACCATTTTCATAACATTGCACAATTCACAACAACACAATCAGGATACAACATCAACAATGATTCAACAAGCCTTTCAAACAATTCTCAACACATCACACAAACAATTGATCACATTGCCTTTTATTATCCCTTTCTCATCATTAAAATTAATCAATGTGGACAAGTCAACCCATCACCAAGCCTCGTTACCCTAAACACATATTACAAGGAAATACATGAATTCCATACACTTAACAAGGGTTTAGAAATTCACTTGCCTCAATCAATCAAGAATTCACTCCGGAACTTGAGCCTTCCCTTTTCGTTGAACTTCCAACTCAAGGCAATCTATTCACATTGATAATCACAATAAGATTTCGAAACTAACAACACCCATTTTATATTTCTAGCATATACCCAAAAACTTACACCAACCTAAAATCAAGTTCCTAAATTTTGATGCCAATTATCATGTCAATCCTCATATTTCCAAATTTCAAGTCTAGGGTTAAGTTTTCATTCTCCAATACCATAAATCTAATGATATTACGTAATATTTAATTACATGTCTCAATCTATCAAAATTTCGTATCCAAAATCAAGGACATAACCCGTAATCTCTACTGTGGAATAATATAAAGAACCTTAACCTAGTTATCACTTTCATTCTTCTATAATGATTTGCTCCCAATTGGCCAATTATTACCCAATAATTGGCTATCAATGCCTAGCCACCAAGTCAACACTACAATATTTACTCAATTTGCAAAACAAAGAAATCTAACTGCTTTTCTTACTTTCTGTTCCACCGCATAAAATTATAATAATAG